AATATAATAAATGAAATTGAAGCTCTCAAATATTGCGACATATTTTATGAATGCGCCCATTTTTTGAGATGTAGATTTTAAGCCAAAATCTTTTGGATTTCTTACAGAAAACAATATTTAACACAAAATAAATCTGCATTCTTTGTTTTCAACTGTTTATGGATTCACCATTTTATCTAATTTTGAAAAAAAATTCGTGTTTTGCTTTTCAAATATTTTTCTTTAAAATGTAAGCAAACATGAGGAAGGAAAAAATTATTTTTAGAAATTCCAGAATCAAGAACACTAAATGCAATTTTTATGAATATCATAATGTTTTCTGACCAAAAACGAGGGTGAAATTATTAAAGTATCACATTATTTAAAAGCAATATGACTTAAAAACAAATAACGTTTTTCCTGAATTTAAAATTTCCCGCCCGAAATAAAAAAATTCAAGTTCAAATCTTTTAAGTTTCAACTGATTTTATAAGCTCTTTGCCGACCACAGGATTTTTTAATTTCGAATGAAAAACACGTGATGAGTGAGTTCAGAAATTCGAATTTATTTCTATCATTATAAAATTTGTAGTGTTCGAAATCTCACCAAAAAATTCGTGAGAAAAATTTTCTATAAATTTTTAATCTCAATTTATGAAGTCACAAGAATATTTTTTTTTAAAAAAATTTATTTGAAAATGGAATCAGAACGAAAAATTGAGAAAGTAAAGATTTTTGAACTTTTGGGCACTGGATATGGTCAGTTCCGCAACTTTGAATGATAAATAAAGTTCATTTTAAATCAGACTTGCGTCATTTCGTATGTTGGCAGTTATGTAAAATTTTGAAAAATTCAAATTTTATTTTCCGTTAAAGCATAAAACAAAATTTTGCTTTAATTAAGCTACAGATTATGAAGCTTTTCGATCAGTATCACTAATTATGTGATCAATAAGTTGTTAATCATTGTTTCAAGCAGTTTCAAGTAAGAAAATTCCTAAATTAAGAAAATTCAGTTGAAATTGAAAAATGTCAACAAAAAAATGTAAGTGTATTAGTGTAAAAATTTCTTTAAAATATTTCTGCAAAAAACTCTTTTGTTTCTTGATATTCATGATTTTAAAGCTTATCAATGTTCATAAAAAATAACAAGCTTTGATTCTAAGCGAGTTGACAGTAGTTATCATAGCTAAAAAGTTTTACCGGTTGAATTGAGTTTAAATTTTCGAAATAAATTTCGAATTTTTTGAAGCCAATTTCGAATTTCTTCGAAATGAAATGACGCAAGTCTGTTTTAAATCATCCTTTACGATTGCATAGCATTTGTTTTAAAATTCAAGCAAATTCAGCAATGCTTAAAGAGATCAAAAAAGCATCCAGAGGCATTGAAGCTATTGACTGATATACATTCAAAAAGAGGAACACAGTCAATAACAGAAAATTCATACAAAATTTTTCTCACGAGTTTTTTGGTGAGATTTCGAACCAGACTTGCTTCATTTCATTTCGAAGAAATTCGAAATTGGCTTCAAAAAATTCGAAATTTATTTCGAAAATTTAAACTCAATTCAACCGGTAAAACTTTTTAGCTATGATAACTACTGTCAACTCGCTTAGAATCAAAGCTTGTTATTTTTTATGAACATTGATAAGCTTTAAAATCATGAATATCAAGAAACAAAAGAGTTTTTTGCAGAAATATTTTAAAGAAATTTTTACACTAATACACTTACATTTTTTTGTTGACATTTTTCAATTTCAACTGAATTTTCTTAATTTAGGAATTTTCTTACTTGAAACTGCTTGAAACAATGATTAACAACTTATTGATCACATAATTAGTGATACTGATCGAAAAGCTTCATAATCTGTAGCTTAATTAAAGCAAAATTTTGTTTTATGCTTTAACGGAAAATAAAATTTGAATTTTTCAAAATTTTACATAACTGCCAACATACGAAATGACGCAAGTCTGATTTAAAATGAACTTTATTTATCATTCAAAGTTGCGGAACTGACCATATCCAGTGCCCAAAAGTTCAAAAATCTTTACTTTCTCAATTTTTCGTTCTGATTCCATTTTCAAATAAATTTTTTTAAAAAAAAAATATTCTTGTGACTTCATAAATTGAGATTAAAAATTTATAGAAAATTTTTCTCACGAATTTTTTGGTGAGATTTCGAACACTACAAATTTTATAATGATAGAAATAAATTCGAATTTCTGAACTCACTCATCACGTGTTTTTCATTCGAAATTAAAAAATCCTGTGGTCGGCAAAGAGCTTATAAAATCAGTTGAAACTTAAAAGATTTGAACTTGAATTTTTTTATTTCGGGCGGGAAATTTTAAATTCAGGAAAAACGTTATTTGTTTTTAAGTCATATTGCTTTTAAATAATGTGATACTTTAATAATTTCACCCTCGTTTTTGGTCAGAAAACATTATGATATTCATAAAAATTGCATTTAGTGTTCTTGATTCTGGAATTTCTAAAAATAATTTTTTCCTTCCTCATGTTTGCTTACATTTTAAAGAAAAATATTTGAAAAGCAAAACACGAATTTTTTTTCAAAATTAGATAAAATGGTGAATCCATAAACAGTTGAAAACAAAGAATGCAGATTTATTTTGTGTTAAATATTGTTTTCTGTAAGAAATCCAAAAGATTTTGGCTTAAAATCTACATCTCAAAAAATGGGCGCATTCATAAAATATGTCGCAATATTTGAGAGCTTCAATTTCATTTATTATATTAATATTGTATTGGAGAAGTAGAAGTGGTCGAAAACTCGATCGCAAGATATGACCTCTACATATAGTAAAAATGAGTTCTAATTCTTATCGAACTTGAAATTATAAAATTTTTGAATACTTTAATTTAACTAAACTTACACTTTACGAAAACCAGCTTAACATATTCATTTACTATTATTTTTTCATAAACAACATTCTAATCAAAAAATATCTTGTTAATTTAAGTAAAATTTTATTTTTTTAAACTCATTTTTTAACGGATTAGGAAAATACACGCTTTTGCGTTGCACTTGTACAGAAATTGAATTAAAGTTCTTCATTTTTGTACTCAATATGTGCTTTATAAGGTAATTTAAGTATGCACAATAATAAAACAACATATATGTAACGAAATGTAAATCAATAGTTTGAAGTTGTCTAGACTTTAGAAAAGAGAAAACCTTTCGTAAAAGTTCAAAATTTTGCATTCTGTACAAGTGCAACGCTTACAAAAAGTCAAATATTTTGTAATTTAAAGCATGTAGAAGGAACCAACTGCAACAAAAGGATATAATTTAATCACCATACATAAATATATTTGGTGTTAAGAACGACTAGATAGCTTAATAAAGATAAATAATGTTTCATTGACGAATTTTTTGAAAACGTCAATCGATAGAATTGTCCATTTGTGTTATTAGTCTTGTCAATAACATACTCAAAACCGTTTAAATGATCAAAATTGGTTAATTCAGCAAAAAGCTTAAAGTTAAATCCGAGGATTAATTTTCTGCAATTCGAGTTTTTAATCTCTATATACATTAGTATATAGGTTTTAAAAACTGCACGTGCAGTTTTTTACTTCTAATGATTTTTTCATTAGGAATTAAAAACTGCACATGCAGTTTTTAATCTCTATATATAAATGTATATAGAAGTTATAAACTACACGTGTAGTTTTTTACTTCTAATGGAAAAATCATTAGAAGTAAAAAACTGCACGTGCAGTTTTTAACACCTATATACAAATGTATATAGAGATTAAAAACTCTAGATGCAGAAAATTTAGGTTTTATAAATTTGAAATGTTTAGAGGTAAAAAACTTTAGGTGTTTTGAACGGTCATCAATTTTTGGTAGATTTTTATAAAATTTCTTATTGGCATCTGAATTTTTGTTTTTTTTTTTGACACGAAACTAAGAAGATCGTCAGCTGTTAATCGTAAATTTGGTGAAATTCTTACTCTTATAAATAGCAATAATTCATGCGGACTCGTAGCTCACGACAGGTGTGAAGCCAGAAGAAGGGAGATTTTAGAATCCATGCAGTTCCTTGACGCAAACATATCTACAATTTCCAATGGTTTTTCAAGGAATAATCCAAAGCAACAGAAGCTAGATGGACAATCAGTCGATACAAACGACCCTAGTTCGATCCCAGGGTATTTCTAGTCGGATTGTGCTGCTTTTTTACTGTTGTAGTCACGGAAACTCGGTTTGTGTGGTTCTCGAAGCACAAATAAGCACCTAAGTCAAACAACTGTGGAATTGCAAAAATTCAATCTGGCTGTAAGGGGGCCATTCATTTATTACGTAACAGGACTTAAGAGGTTTTAAACATTAGAGATTATTCCCATATACGCAGGCGCGTAACCAGAGGGGGGGGATTTGGAGGACAAATCTCACGACTTTAGCAGAAATTTCATCATTTTGCTAGGAGTTTTATGAAAAAATCATAAAAATCCCCCCTTCCCTCTGAATTTTCCATATAAATTTTGTCCCCCCCCCCCCCCTCTTCAAATTCCTGGCTACGCCCCTGCATATACGCAAAAGTATTAGACCAGTTTTTATCAACTTTCCTGAGACCTCTACAAGACTAGTTAAACCATAATAAACTAATCATTATAAAGTTACAAACCCTTCAATAAATCATCAATTCATAAGCAGTACAACATCAATCCATGTGTACATAAAAACACAAATAGTATCAAAATCATCAACCACCAGACAGTGTCTGTTTTCTTAAAGCATGTCCAACAACACACATATTAAAATTGTGCATGCATATTCGATATATGTAAATTATATCCCTTGAGTATATCTGTAGATGTGAACTGTACACTACTGTTTTTTTATTTCCTCTAAAAAGATTAGTGATTTTCATACATATTATTGAACAAAACAGTAAGTCGTTATAAACTGACTCTGATAAGTTTCAATTATGAGCAGAAAAAATAAATTCCATCTGCAATGCCTTAATCCTCCAATCAGTTTCTAATAAATTGCTCATGAGGCTAGTTCTATATCCTCAATCTTTTTTCGTGAACCTTTCAATTTTGTACAAATTCATAGTCGATGGATTTTTTTGACGATAATTATTTTGACATAATCGCGTTACCGCCGACCAAGGCAATATTGGATGAGAATCAGTGCATTCAACCAAGTGATTACATACCTTCCTCAATTTATGGTGATTTATATCAATATACTGGAATTGATGAGATTCCATCATACACAGAACTTACAACAAGTTCACTCATCTCAACGCCGTCATCGAATGCTTCACAGCCATCAGAACTAGAGCAGTTTTTAATATTTGATTGCGATGACTCGTACAGTGTGACAACATTTGACAATTTACCGGATCAAACATTAATGTGTACGGACTCTTGTGCCGCATTCATAAAAGAAAGTTCAGAAATTTTACGAGTAAATTCATTAAAAATTCAGCAGCAGGATGAAATGTCGTTGTCGTTGTTTGAGGAAGCTGCGAAAAGTGATGAAAAAGTTTTCTTTAGTTGTAATTTTGGGGATTGTCAAAAGACATATTCGAAACCAGCTCACTTACGTGCACATATGAGGAGACATCTTGGTCTTAAACCTTATTTCTGTAATTTTCCAAATTGTTCGTGGAAGTTTTCTCGTTCTGATGAACTTGGTGAGTTTTATAAATTTACAGTGTACACCTTCGACAACTCATTGATTAATTTATGATGAATTTAGGCTTGACCAACTCAAAAATCAAAATGTTTCTGGACTTGATAAAAGAAATTTAAAGGATTCATTGAAAAGTTATGATTAAATCAATTCAAACTTATTCCAAGCCTAAATTCTTATGATTGAGGTTGAAGGTCAAAAAATTATGTTGTCAACTGGACTTCTTCTAATTAAGTATTTCCTTTACTTGCAGCTCGTCATCAAAGATCTCATTCAGGTAAGTTGTTAACTCAGTTTGTTATCCGCATTTTCCTGAGGAAACAAAGCGCTTATAGGTTCACTTTGGCTGGCTGCCACGAGTGCTCGGAACTGGTCTATAGCTGTTATATGTTAGCTCAATCACATCAATAGATCAGGTTGCCTTGAAAATTCAGCTCAAAGCTAGCCATCCTCTTGCAGACATTCTCGTTTCTCTTGGTTTTATCGACCAGCATTCTTACATCCCCGAATAACACTAGTCGGTTAATCGAATAGAAATCTAGTGCCAAACCGGCATGACTCTGACATCATCGGTTTAGTGCCGGATTTCCAATCGATTAACCGACATGTGTAATTCGGGATCATAAATATACGTCATAAATCTCCAGAACACTCAAAGCATCTGCAAAATTGAAGAAGTAAGAGCTTTTGCCGATCGAAACGAAATCAAAACTTTGCAATCCTGTTTTATCACTAGAAATCATCTTCGTAAGCAAATTTTCTGTGAGACTTAGTAATTAATGCAGCAAAGTGTCGGTGCCCTAGCAACAACTTTGTGCTGCTCGGGAATAATTCATTAAAATAAACCAGACATAATCCATGAGTTGTCAATTAATAAACACATCACAAAGAGTATCAATTTCCAACTCATGATAATATGCTGCTGTCAAATGTGCATCTGTAAAAACCCCGTTAATGAATATAGAATTTGCTTATCAAACGCAACTACTTAATGTATTATTTTTCATTCATTATTTTTAAGTATTTTATAATTTTAAAAGTCACTTTGTGGATAGTTCCTAAATTCATCGGCATGTCGTAATGTTTTCCGTTGTTTCGTATAGAGAATTGAGAGCCAAGATAATTCCTAATCTGTAAACTTCCAACAGAGCAACTAGTTTTACATTATTCCTAGTTGTTCCACTAATTAGCATAAATCTAACCTCAAAAATCTCTAAACTTTATTTTCCATTTTAGGTATCAAACCATACAAGTGCTTTTACTGCTCAAAAACATTCTCACGAAGCGATCATCTTAAAAAGCATGTGAAAATTCATGAGAAGAAGTTAAATGGCAGCAAATTAAAATTCATCTGGGATGAAATGCCAAAGCAGAAACCTGGAAGGAAAAAGAAAATCTTAACAACAACACAATAACATCAGTTTTTCCCACAACTTTATCTTTTCACTCAACTCCTTATGCTGTACAAGATAATCGAATTAAATTGTTTGAAGCATCATCTTCATCTTTTCATAAGAAAATTGCATGTATTCATATATTTTATATTTTATATATTCTTTTTTTTTGTGAAAAGGAAAAACTTTACATAAAGAATTTATGCATGCAAATAAATTGTGTGTGAAAAGCTTGAAACACCCACTTGTTGATGTGATGCTTCTCATTCAATTTGCATCATCTTTTTACTGAAGCTTGTCTTTTGATTCTTTATAAAAGAGATCCAAGTAAAAGGAGAAAAGAGATTGTTTGATGGAAAATAAGATGGAATTTTTCCTGTTTTGTAGACGTGAGAAATTTGTTCTTAATGCTGAAGAATTTTTGTATTTTAAAGCTTGAATTTGAATTTCATCTTAAAATAGAATTTTGTGCTGCAATTCTTAAATCGTGAGAAACTTGAGACTTGAAATAACGATTACAAATTACATGACTTGAGATTCATGGCCTCCCGAATAGCACAAGTTGGTAAATCGATCAGAAAATTCGGGACCAAGCCGGTCACTATGGGGCAAAATGAAAAAAAATCGATGATTCAAATTTTTTTTTGACTTTTTCGAGTTACGATCTCTTGGTGATTTTTTCTTATTAAGGATATCAAAACTGGATTATGTTCCAAATTTCAGGTCATTTGGTGCTGTTTTTGCGATTCTGTAGCTGTTTGAAGTTGGAAAATGGCGAAAATTTGAATTTTTTCATGCATTACTTAAACTGCAATTTCTCTACAATGGCTAAAGATATTGAAAAAATGTTTTCAGTTCCTAATAGGAACATATAAGAGCTTTATTTTGATGTGGCACAAAGTTTGGAAATATGTAGTTGTGGTTCCGATATAGTACAAAGTATATGAAAATCCTATGAAAAATATCTTTAAACGTGCCGCAACTGTCCAAAACGGCCATTTTCCCCCCCATAAACCATATATCAGTGCAAAGTTCTTGTTTTTTAGTTTTCAAAACAGTAATAACATTGTAATTCTGTAGAGGACTAGAAAAGTTATCGCAGTTTAAGTGAGACGACAAATATTTTGCCAAAATTAAAATTTTCTCATAACTGTATAGAAAAAATAACCACAGATAAGGTTTGTTCTGTTTTTCAATGCCAAATGTTATTTAAAGATGACCTGTGAAGAAATTTTTTCAAAAAGTTCAAAATTTGTCGATATATAGGGTACTTTTGATATCTGACGACTTGTATGTTTTTTTCATCACTCAAACCACTAGTACTCTTAGAAAATTAAATATTTTTGAATTTTGTTTTCAGTTTATTGTAGCTTAAATCAGTACCTTTCTAATGATGTATAATACTTGATAGTTGACTTTGATCTTGATCATGAATATGAGGCTTGTTTGTGAGCGACCCTAAACTAGAAAAAATCTCAAAAATTTCATTTCTAGAAATACCACTTGGAAACAAAATTATGTATTGAGTTTTGGTTTTTTATGTTAATTTATGATAATTATGACTAAAAACACTCAAAAAATTGTATTTTATAAACTTTTGGATATCTCAGGTAGCTTGTTTAAGTACGATCCTAGTAGTCTTTATTGGGTCAAAAATTCCCAAGTATTACACTATTTCTTGGATGCTTATCGGTTGATATTTCATAATCATATAGATTTTAAGCAAAATAAGTCAGTTTAAAATATTTTTGTTTGATAAATTTTGGTTTTTGACTATTTTGTTGAAGTTTAGCTTGCGTCGGTCACATTCAATTTACTCCAGAAGCAGATTTAATGATTTTTCATACAAGTATTATACATCATTTTAAAGGTATTGATCTAAACTAGCAATAACCGAAAACAGAATGTAAAAATAATTTTCCTGAAAAGGTTACAGCTCTTTATGTCCATCTAAAAGCCTACAAAAGCGCAACCAACATAGGTAAATTCACAAAAATTGAAAATTCGATGACTACTTTTAGAGCAAATTGTTAGAAAAAGGTTTAATATATTAAAGGAAATAATAATAGAATAAATTTTGCCAAAATAAATGTGAAATTTCAAATTTTTGTAAATTTACATGTGCTGGTTGCGCTTTTGTAGGCTTTTTGATGGACATAAAGAGCTCTAACCTTTTTCAGGATACATATTTTTGCATTCTGTTTTCGGTTATTGCTAGTTAAAATTAATAACTTTAAAATGATGTATAATACTTGTATGAAAAATCATTAAATCTGCTTCTGGAGTAAATTGAATGTGACCGACGCAAGCTAAACTTCAACAAAATAGTCAAAAACCAAAATTTATCAAACAAAAATATTTTAAACTGACTTATTTTGCTTAAAATCTATATAATTATGGAATATCAACCGATAAGCTTCCAAGAAATAGTGTAATACTTGGGAATTTTTGAGCCAATAAAAACTACTAGGATCGTACTTAAACAAGCTACCTGAGATATCCAAAAGTTTATAAAATACAATTTTTTGAGTGTTTTTAGTCATAATTATCATAAATTAACATAAAAAACCAAAACTCAATACATAATTTTGTTTCCAAGTGGTATTTCTAGAAATGAAATTTTTGAGATTTTTTCTAGTTTAGGATCGCTCACAAACAAGCCTCATATTCATGATCAAGATCAAAGTCAACTATCAAGTATTATACATCATTAGAAAGGTACTGATTTAAGCTACAATAAACTGAAAACAAAATTCAAAAATATTTAATTTTCTAAGAGTACTAGTGGTTTGAGTGATGAAAAAAACATACAAGTCGTCAGATATCAAAAGTACCCTATATATCGACAAATTTTGAACTTTTTGAAAAAATTTCTTCACAGGTCATCTTTAAATAACATTTGGCATTGAAAAACAGAACAAACCTTATCTGTGGTTATTTTTTCTATACAGTTATGAGAAAATTTTAATTTTGGCAAAATATTTGTCGTCTCACTTAAACTGCGATAACTTTTCTAGTCCTCTACAGAATTACAATGTTATTACTGTTTTGAAAACTAAAAAACAAGAACTTTGCACTGATATATGGTTTATGGGGGGGAAAATGGCCGTTTTGGACAGTTGCGGCACGTTTAAAGATATTTTTCATAGGATTTTCATATACTTTGTACTATATCGGAACCACAACTACATATTTCCAAACTTTGTGCCACATCAAAATAAAGCTCTTATATGTTCCTATTAGGAACTGAAAACATTTTTTCAATATCTTTAGCCATTGTAGAGAAATTGCAGTTTAAGTAATGCATGAAAAAATTCAAATTTTCGTCATTTTCCAACTTCAAACAGCCACAGAATCGCAAAAACAGCACCAAATGACCTGAAATTTGGAACATAATCCAGTTTTGATATCCTTAATAAGAAAAAATCACCCAGAGATCGTAACTCGAAAAAGTCAAAAAAAATTTTGAATCATCGATTTTTTTTCATTTTGCCCCATAGTGCCGGTGTGGCTCTAGCATGGTGCTAGATTAAAATCTAAACTAGCACCATGCCAGTGTCATGCCAACTTGTCACCGGAATTCCATTCGATTAACAGTCTTTTGCTGAGATGGCACTTTAGGCTTGCTCTATCACTGACTACCGCTTGCCAATCAACAATAGCTAGTGCGATACTATCTCCTCCGACATGCAGCAGCTTCTATCCTTTATCTGTTTATCATAAACCTAAATATCACCTTTTAATGAGTCAATCTTAAGGCGATAAAAAAGTCACCTAAAACTAGCCACAAAAAAAAATTACTACAAAATAATTTATTCGATCCACATAAAAGCAGTCATGATGATACAAATTGAGGGCACTTTCATCTTCCCCAACATTTCATACAATTCCGATGACAAAAAAATAAATTCTTATGTTTTGTCTTTTCACGTCAAGAAGAACATTACAATAAAAAAGATAAGCAATTTATTTTCATTATATGCTTTATGCTTCTTCTCTTTTATATTTCATTACGACAATGGTTTTTTGTTGTTATGGCAAATAAGATTTTTTTTTTGTGTTCTCATGTCGCTTTTTTTGTGTCTTGTGTATTATGAGAATATTATAAGTGTATTTATTTATATTTTCTCTTTATTTCGGGTAGTGGAAGGACACTTGTTGATTATCTCAGATTATAATGTTTCTCATTTTTTTGTGCTCAATGTTCTTCTTATATTGTGCTATTCATCTTCTTTAAAACTGCTTTGTTGCTTCTTTGGTTTGATTGCTGATATCACGAGAATTACTATTAGTGGAACTGAAAAATTGATCAGCAAAAAATTTGAAATGGAAACATTTTGGATAGTGGAATTGAGAGTCAACGAAATGGATGTTTTTAAAGCACGTGAATTTAATGGAATTAGAAGATGATGAATTGGTTCATTGTAGAGTCCATCTATGGACTCAGTTCTCTGTCATAAATCTTCATAAACTTAGACCAGTGGTTAGGTAAGAGTATAGTCTTGATTATATCCAAGAAGCCGGTCAATAGATAACTTCTAGATTGAAATGAACTTACTGAAATTAGTAACAACTGTCGTTGAATTTGAGCTGTATAGAGATACTGTTATTGTGAGAAGAATCAAAGTAAACAGGCTTCGATGGGGTGGACATGTTATTAAAAGACCTGTTGACGCTCCATCAAATAAGGTCTTCAAATCCGATTCTGTAGATGAAAAGAGATCACGTGAAAGGCCAAAAAACTCATGAAAAGAGGTTTTTACTAGAGACATTGTAGCATTTGAAATCGGCAATTAGACGAGGGAAGCCAGCGATAGAACTTGTTTTTAGGAGACGAGTAAGAGAGTCCATGGTTCACAACTGATCTTTACGACCAGCGAAGTATTAAGTAAGTAAGTCGTTGGATTTCAGTATATTTGCTTACACCTGTGACATATTACTTGACATTCATGAAAAAGTTTCAACTGTTGAATAGATATGGAATAACATTATTCCATATTTTAAAGTCTATACAGATCAATTAAGGTTCCATGACCTCCTTTAACTGGGAATTTTTGATACTTAGTGAAATACTGTCTCTGTCAACAACCTGTGTGATGACATCTTTGAGTGCACTCGTACTCTATAGGCGTTTAAAAATCAGATTTGATACTCTCCCAAGAGAAACTTCTGTAGGTCCCAATAAAAGAGTTTAAGGACACCATAGCTATTGCCTCTTATTATTGTCACAATGTCAACTTAGTAAGTTTGTTGGAATCATTAAACTCAATCCTAAGTCAAACCGATTTTTCCATTATTATGTAGGATCAAACTTCTAATCTTCAAATCTAGGTTTCAAATAAACTAAGGCTCTCGTTTCGATCTTCTGTAGGCGTGACGTAATACTTTTCAGGTC